GTCTGTGAGCCCAGGGCCCAGGAGAACCTGTGATCTCCCTCCTTAGTCAGAATGAACCTGTCAAATCTCTGCCCTGAGCCACACTGGAGGATCACGTTCCCTCCTGAGGTCACGACAGGGCTGGGCAGGGCTGAGAGGGTGGGTTTGCTATAGGCTCCTAGGAGAGGAGGAGGCAGCCTGTTGAAGGGCTCAGACCTCCCTCATGTCCCCCAGGGCTGGGCTGTGAGAGAGAGCCCTGAGAGCAGACCCCCTTCCTGAGGGCAGAGCTTGAGGCTGGGACCCCTGAGTGTCCTCTCACCTGTCATCACCACCAGCTCCAGGGGGTCACTGTGCTCTGACCAACCATCAGGGCTGAGATAGTAACAGTCATATATCCCAGCACCATGCTCTGTCATTCTTGTGATCCTGAACATGCCCTTGTCCATCGGATCTACTGGTTTCACTCTGCCCCACAGCAATAGGTTTCCCTCTTTTTCAAAACAGAACTCCTTGGCCTCCCCGGTCCACTGGCACCAGATGGTCACGGGGCTCCCCCAGGACATCACAGAGGCTGGCTCAGCCCAGAGGGTGGGTTTGAGGAGGGTCCCTGGAAGGAAACCAGAGGCTGCATGACCAAGACCTTCCCACCTTCATCTCCTAGCTTAGTGCTAGAACCTCCTCTTTTATCACCTCAACCCAGCACCTCTGTGCTCCCTCCTGAGCCCCAGGGGTGAAGGAAGAGGAGGGACATGGAGCCTGGGGAGGACTCACCTGCCTGCACGTGGATCCTCTGGTCCAGACTCAGCCCTGAAAGAGAGTCCCTGTGAGAGGTTTGCACCCAGACATCTGAGCTGATTCCCTTCCCATCAGGCCCCGGTTACTAGAGCTGCCTGGGCCTGAGGTTTCCAATGAACATGAGGATGCAGCTGCCCTTCCTGCTCCTGCTCCCTGTGTCCACAACTGACCGAGGCAGAGAAGAACAGAGAGGATGGACGTCATGGCGTCTGCTCTGAGGGCTCCTGCTCTACAGATGGAGGAAGCCTGAACCTGCAGAACAGAGTCTCACAGGATGTGACGTGTTAAAGGCTGTTGAAAACCTTTGGGGTTAGCACACCCCACAGCAAGGAGACAGCCCCGCCCTGGGCCTGGCTCCTCATCTCCCCAGAATGAGGGTTCACGGGGCGTCCTGGTTTCAGGAGGCTGGTCAGCAGTGTCTGCGGTCTCACCTGATCCTCAGGGTCTCATGTGTCTGCTGGTTTGACTCCAGCTCAGGGAGGGTGGGACCCAGGTTCTGGTCCTGAATCAGCCTCTGAGAGTCTGGCTCTGAACAGCCCAATGGGACACCCGACCAAGGCTCTTGAAGAAGCTCATTTATAAAAGATTCTGCTGCACAGTTTCCCTGTGGCCTCAGCATTTCCTCAACTTTCCCTGGTTTGGGGTCCTGATAGGTTCCCATCCCCTACTGACCCTTTGTGTTTCCTGCCTTTTTAATGTTCATTATTCAGTGTAAGTGTTGGTACCACCCTGTGGTTTGATGCACATTTATTTCTTCTATGATTTATAAAGCTCAACACCTTTTATTTAAACATTTTTTGTTACTCCTCACCTGAGGATATTATTTCCAATGATTTTTAGAGAGGATGGAAGGGAGAGAGGGAAGGAGAGAGAGAGAGAGAGAGAGAGAAACATCAATGTGAGAGAGATGCGTCAATTTCTTGCATCCCAACGAGGGTTGAGGAGCAAACCTGCAACCAAGGCACATGCCTTTGACATGGAAGCAAACCTGTGACTCTTCGATGGTCAGGCTGATGCTCTAGCCACTGAGAAACACCAGCCAAGGCCAGCTCATCACCTTTATATAATGTCACTGCAAATATGCATGCCAATATCAGTTGCTTGATAAAGGTGTTTGCTTGCTTTTCTATTGCTCTCTGCTGCCACATTATGGATCTGTAATATTTCTTAAGTGATCTGAGTGCCAGTCCATGGACTCATTTTGGCATCGCAAATATCGTCTTCATTATCTCCCTCGTGTCTACAAGGAACAGAAGTTCTTCATCTTAGTGAATTCCACTGTGTCCATGTCCTCCCTAAGTTTGTGTTCTTGTGTCCACATCGAGGAAAAATGTGTCTCCCACAAACTAGTAAGATAGTTTCCCCCTTTTCTTTTTGCAAAAGAAAAAGTAGTTGGTTTATTTTTCACATTTTGATCCGTTGCCCATCTGACATTGATTACTGCAAATGGTCGAGGCAGGTAAGACGTTTACTGTGTCCTACAGACTCACCTACTGGCCCATCACCATGTGATGGAAAAGCCATGACCTCCCCTCTGCACTGCAAGAGTCTGTCACGATCCAGGTGACTCCATACGAGGGGTCTGATCTGGAGACTTCCTTCTGCTCCTCTGGACAAGGCATCTCTGCTTTTCAATTTCTCAAAATACCACTATCTCCATCTGCATTGAATGGCTGGTTTCATTTCCTCCATATCTCAGTCTAGAGCAGTGATGGTGAACCTTTCGAGCTCAGTGTGTCAGCATTTTGAAAAACCCTAACTTAACTCTGGTGCCGTGTCACATATAGAAATTTTTTTATATTTGCAACCATAGTAAAACAAAGACTTATATATTTTTTTAAATATATTTTATTGATTTTTTACAGAGAGGAAGGGAGAGAGATAGAGAGTCAGAAACATCGATGAGAGAGAAACATCGATCAGCTGCCTCCTGCACATCCCCCACTGGGGATGTGCCCGCAACCCAGGCACATGCCCTTGACCGGAATCGAACCCGGGACCTTCCAGTCCGCAAGCCGACGCTCTATCCACTGAGCCAAACCGGTTTCGGCAAAAGACTTATATTTTTGATATTTATTTTATATATTTAAATTCCATTTAACAAAGAAAAATCAACCAAAAAATGAGTTCGTGTGTCACCTCTGACACGCGTGTCATAGGTTCGCCATCACTGGTCTAGAAGATTTCTCACCATCTTTGTGGGGAAGGCATTGGTATTGCTGAGAAGTCAAGGGAGGAAGTAGCCTGCTCAAGTGTCCTCCAACCATTCAGGATGTGGTAGCGCCACAACTGATATTTAATGTGTCTGTGCTGCTTCCTTAGAACAGGAGTCCCATGAATGTTGTTCTTGTGTGAGTCCTGATGAGTCTCCACAGTTTGGTTGATCCCTAAGCACTAAGGCACTTAGGGCACCTCTGACCTGGTGGGAGTCCGGCTTCCATAAAACTCCAGGGACACAAGTGGGGCAACCTCCAAGGTATAAGGCAGCTGAAGGGAACCACGCGTGTTTCACTTGCATTTCTTTTTATTGAAGCAACAGTCACATAACATACAATTGGGCCTTTTGAAATACGAATTTCACTAGAATGCAGTAAATACACAATGTTTCAATGACAATGTCTATCTTGTTTCAAGAAAGTTTTTAACTCCCCCCCAAAACAAACAAACAAACAAACAAAACAACAGCAACAACAACAAACAGTCCATCTCCCATCTGTCCTCCTGGTCAACCCCAGACAAACCAATCTGATTTCTCTTTCTATGGGTTTCCTTCTCCTGGACATTTCGAATAAAGGGAATCACACAAAACCTGATTCCCTTTTGTGTCCCAATTCTGTACCTGAGCTGCATTATTATGATGTTTTCCCACTATGGACCAGGTGCTTGTCCTTTGTTCTTTGTGATTTAAACTAATCCCAGGGTTGTGAAGACACCTGATTTTGTTGGGATGGATGTGACGCAGCATGAAGGTATATAGATGTGAATCCAAATCAGCCATATGGGACGGACCCTCACATCACAGGGTGAGAACAGAAGGGCAGTGGAATAGAGTCAGCAAGGACAGGGAGGAAGGGAGAGCACCCAGGTGGATGGAGGAGGCATCCTCTACAGGGACATGGCCTACGTTCTCCTGCACCCAAACCTCGCCTACCACGTCTACTTCCCTGGCTAATCTCAACAGACAGATTCCCCAACTATGGTCCCCACTTTCCTTCAGCACCTCCTGGGATCCTCAGATAGGCTCCAAGGCTCGCCCTCTCTGAATGGTGCGTTGTTCCCTCTGTGTTCACATGCTGGCTGCATCGAGGGTCCTTATGGGGTCGTTTCGAGCCTCAAATAGCAGCACCCCGAGGACCACCAGGATCAAGCCAGCCACGCCCATCTGGGTGAGATTCTCCACTGTGTAGTCTTGGGGATGGGAAAATAAGAATTGTGGGCAAAGAAGTCTCAGAGGTCAGGGTAGACACAAATCTCTAGGATTTTGATGTTCAACCTGGGCTACCACCACCCCTTGACATCAGTGTCCCTGTGATGTCTGAACTTGAGGTCCTGCCTCTGCTCTGATGCCAATGTCAGAGGAGGAAGAAGAGGAGGGAGAGCAGCAGGACCAAGGCCACCAAGACTTATCCAGTACCATTTGGGAACTAGGCCATTAGTGACGTCATGAATGAACCAGTGATGCCATTGAATGAGCACCTACTGTGTGTGAGGCACATGCTGGGGTCTGTCACTCATCTCTTCTCACCTCTCAGCAGTCATGCACCAGGCATGGCTGACCCCACCAACCACTTCACTGAGGCTCCGTGGGATTAATCACATGCCCCAGGCAGGATTGTGGGATAGAACCCGGGGCTGTGAGTTCCCTGTGCTGTCGTTATGCTCCATCCCCACCACCTGCCACCTCTCAGGTGGACAACAGCTTTGTGCTCTGGGCTCCTCCTGTGCAGGGGCCTGTCAAGGTCTCATATGGAGCTGAGGGACCTTCCCCATTACCCACTCTCAGTACAGCAGAGATAGAATGGGCAGGGTGTGGGGTGGACTCTGAGTCTGTCCTGGATTCCTCTCTACCTACAGGTTTCCGGCTGGGCTGGGGGCCCTGCCTTCCTGAGCTCTGTGAGGCCCTTATGTCACCTCATCTCCCAGCAGCCTGTGAGCAGGATGGGACCAGGGATGAGCAGACAGAACCCGACACTCAGAGGAGAGAAGGGACCGCCCAGCCCCACAGCAGGAGCAGCAGAGCCAGGAGCTGAACCAGGGCTGATCCACTCTGTTCCCTCCTCTGAGGTGAGCCTGAGCTGAGGGGTAGGACTGGGTGCCGGACCCTTGTCCTGCCTGTTCCTCCCTGTACAGTGTCACCGTCACTGAGACAGAGGGGACAGGCCCCATAACATCACGTCCTGGGGGCTTCCATGTGTGGCCCCTCTCCCAGGTCAGGGCCAGAACTGACAGGAAATCTAAGCTCTGGACAAGGATTCTCTCCTTTTACACTGGGAGACATTGAGGCCCTGTCAGGGGAAGGGTGGGTCCAAGTCAGCAAATCCAGAGGGTCCGGGACCCCCGCATGGCTCAGCCCCTGTCTCCCATGGAGGCATCCACCACCTCCCACAGAGCCCCTCATTTACCCATCTGTATGCCTGACCCTGTGGGTGGGAGAGCGATCCCCAGAGCCTCCTGTGAATGAGGATGGGGCAGGAGGGTGGGGGCTGCCTTCTCCCCAAATAAGACCAGGTTCACCTCCCCAGTCTGCACCCTGACATCGTCCTCTGCCATGACCACTCCACCCATCACCAGCCTCAGACCCTGGGACACAGGCCTGTCCTTGAGGATCTGGGTCACTCGATCCCCTGACAGATTCTCAGGACTTGGAGGTAGGGCTGTGCTCCCTCTGAGCAGAGCTCCCCGGGACTCACCAGGTGGGTGGGGAGCTGGGGTCTCCAGAGGGTCCTGGAAATGAGGACAGGAAGAGGGTGAGAGGCTTGGGCTGATCCTGGAACCCATTTCACACAGACACCCTCTTCCATCTGTGCTGTGGCCCCGAGGCCCTCCCACTGCCTCAGTATCCAGGTGAGGGGAAGTGGGGGGATGGGGTGGGTAGGCTCTAAGGAAAGGATCTCCTTGGGGTGACCATCCTGAGAGCCCCAAACTCCCTTACAGCCCATAATACTTCTGGGGACAGGACCCAGAGCTGACAGCTCAGCCGATAGGGTTTGGGCCCCTCACCTGAGACCAGGAGCTCCAGGGGCTCACTGGGGAGTGACAGCAGGAAGGGGGAGGTGCTGTGTGAGCTGTAGCACCTGTAGGTGCCCCTGTGGGCTGAGGTCACAGGGCTCATGGAGAACTCTGCCTGGAACTGCAGAGCTTGGTACTTTGATCCCAGACGCAGGGGGGGATCGGCTGCCCCCTCCTTGGACAGAAGGAAAGTGTCCCTCCAGCTCTGTGACTGACACAGCAGGGTCACGTTCTCTCCTGAGGCCACCCTGGGGCCTGGCTGCACCGAGAGGGAAGGTCTGTCAGGCAGGTGTCCTAGAGAGAGGGAGGGAGGGTGAGGGCTGCCTGCCCACCTTGTTCTGACCTGAGAGTCACCAGGCCTCTCTCTGAGGACCCGCCTCTCTGTCTGTCTCTGTTTCTCTGAGTCTCCCCCTCACCCCTCCTACCTCCTGCATTTCTCTGTCTCCCTCCCTGGGCCCCACACCGTCATTCTGGCCTCATCACCTGAGACCCCCAGCAGGGCCTGATAAGAGTCTGGCCCCAGATTGTACCCAGTGGCTCCTCACCTGCCACCAGGATGTCCAGTGGGTCACTGGGGGCCGACCACTCAGAGGAGAGGTTGTATCCACCATAGCATCTGTACCGGCCTCCATGGGACCTACTCACAGTGTCCAGGGGGAAGTGGGCCTGAGAGAGCCCAGCCTGGGGCTGCAGGACAAGGCTCTGGGGGAGGCCCTGTTTCGTCTCCTTGTGCAGAGCGAATCTGTCATAGCCGACATCAGAGCGACACTGGAGGGTCAGGTTCTGTCCAGAGGCCACGATGGGGCCCTGCTGGGTCAGGAGGGAGGGCTTCCCAGACTCACCTGGGGAGACCAGACAAGAGTTACAGGGTCTGCTCCTCCCATAACTCCTTCTCCTGTCCTGCCCCCCAGGTCTCACTGTCTCTTCCTGTTTCTCTGGCCCAGGAGCTCCTCTGCTCCCTCTCCCCACCCCTTCACAAGGGGCTCCCCTCTCAGTGAAGATGCCAAAGTGTCTGGTGCCTGGATCCATGGAGGGGACCAGGATGGGACTTACTCACCTGAGACCAGGAGCTCCAGGGCATCACTTGGGTGTGACCACACCTGGGGGCTGTTCCTGTAACAGCCATAGCATCTGAACCTCCACCTGTGGCTGGGGGTCACGGGACCCACAGAGAACAGGGCCTGGGACCGGCCACTGGGGTGTGGTTCTGAGTCCTGGGTCCAGGAGAGCCTGTGATCTCCTTCCTTAGTCAGAATGAACCTATCAAATCCCTGCTGTGAGCCACAGTGGAGGGTCACGTTCCCTCCTGAGGGCACGACTGGGCTGGGCAGGGCTGAGAGGCTGGGTTTTCTGTAGGCTCCTAGGAAAGGAGGAGACAGCCTGTTAAATGGGCTCACTCCTCCCTCATGTCCCCCAGGGCTGGGCTGTGAGATGGAGACACCCTGAGAGCAGACCCCCTTTCTAGGGCAGAGCCCGAGGCTGGGACCCCTGAGAGTCCTCTCACCTGTCGCCCGCAGCTCCAGGGGTTCACTGGGCTCTGACCAGCCAGTGGGGCTGTTAGAAGAACAGGAATATCTCCCTGCATCATGCTCTGTCATGTGTGTGATGGAGAACTTGCCCTTGGCTGTGGACTTCCTTTCAGTCTGTGTGTTCCAAAGCACATGTTTTCCTTCCTTATACAGATCAAACTTCTGGGCCTCCAGAGTCCCCTCACACCAGAGGGTCACAGGGCTCCCATAAGGGATCACAGGGCCTGGTTCAGCCCACAGGGTGGGTTTGGGGAGGGTCCCTGGAAGGATACCAGAAGCTGCATTAGAAAGCGCTTCCCCCGCTCTTCCCCCAGCTCATCCAGGACCTCTGTGCTCCCTCCTGAGCCCCAGGGCTGAAGTACCAGGTGGGACCTGGAGCCTGGGGAGGACTCACCTGCCTGCACGTGGATCCTCTGGCCCAGACTCAGCCCTGGAAGAGTCAATTTGAGAGATTTGCATCCGGACATCTGAGCTGATTCTCCTCCCATCAGGGCCCCGTCCACTCGAGCTGCCAAAGCCTGAGGTTCCCATGAACAAGGGAGTGCCGCCACCCCTTCTGCTGCCCTTCCCCATGTCCACAACTGACCGAGGCAGAGAAGAGCAGAGAGGATGGACATCATGGCGTCTGCGCTCAGGGCTCCTGCTGTGCAAATGGAGGAGACTTAGGGTCGGAAAAACAGACGCACAGGATGTGGTGGGTCAGAAGCTGCTGCAGCCCTTCCGGGTCCGCAAGCTGTGCACCCATTGCATGCGGACTCTCCCGCCCTGGGCCTGGCTCTGAGTTTCCCCAAACTGAGGTCTCAATAGGAGAGAAGGCTCTTGCGGGACAGGTGCCCGATCCCTCCTGGGCACTGCAGGGATCATTTCCTTAGTTGGTCTGGCCTTTGGATTCTGTGACGACAACTTTGAGTGGACTTTGCAGTGTCAGGTTGGTGCTGTTCATCCATCAGGAAACAGTCTCAACTCACAGTGGACATTTTTATAGCAGAGGTGTTAGTCATTTATTCCTCAGTTGGTAACAGGATGCTCAAAAATGGAACTGCCAATGGAGCCAGCTGATCCCACTGGTGGAAATACATCCGCAGAACCCGACACATCAATCAGAAAGAAGGTATGCTCCCCTGTGTTCATAGCAGCAGAATTTACAACAGCTGAGACCTGGAAACAGCCCAGATGCCCAGCTGTGCGTGAATGGATAAAACAGCTGTGGTACATTTATACTATGGAATACTATGCAGGTATAACAATAGAAGGATCTCTTACCTTTTGAGACATCATCGAGGGACCTGGAGAGTATTATGCTGAGTGAAATAAGCCAGTCAGAGAAAGACAAATATTGCAGGATTTCACTTATATGTGGAATCTAATGAACAATATAACTTGATCAAAAAAATGAGTCCAGAGGCATGCTGCATGGAACAACTGGACAGATCTCAGGGACAGTAGGGGGGCAGAAAAAGATTAACTAAAGAACTTACCTGCATATACGCATAGCTCAAAGCCATAGATATTAGTGTGCAGAAGGACTGTGGTGGGGTCTGTGCTGGGTGGAGGGGGGATATAGGTAGAGATGAAGATCATCTGTAATAATGTCAATAGTATTACAAAAGATACAGTATTATCTTGAAGGGGAAGGCTATCTATATATATATATAAAAGCCTAAGCGACCAAATGACCGGTTGATCGTTTGCACAGAGACCACCAGGGGGCAGACACTAAATGCAGGAGCTGCCCTCTAGTGGTCAGTGCACTCACACAGCTGGAGCACCGTTCAGCTGACCTACGAGAGCCATACCTGGGCTCACTGCTGGCGAGCACAGCTGCAGTGCCCCAAGCCTCTCCCACCTCTGTGGCAGCACTACCGAGTGGTGGTGGCAGGCGCTGCAGGGCTGGTTGGGATGAGCCCGAGTGGCATGGCACCCAGCCCAGGTTTGGGCTCCTCCTCGCCCACCTGCTGCTTTGCGCACTACTACATCCCTCAGGGGGTGTCAGACTGCCGGTTTCGGTCCAATCTCTCAGCCTGGCCTGCAGGGATTGGGCCAAACTGGCAGTCTGACATCCCCCGAGGGGTCCTGGATTGCGAGAGGGTGCAGGCCAGGCTGAGGGATCGCACATGTGCATGAATCCGTGCACTGGGCCTCTAGTATAGAAAGAAAATAAGAATGCTCATGACGACATTATGGGAGACATACCAAGACAGGAAGAGAAACGGATTGACAGAGTGACAGATGTCCGAGGAGAGGAGAGTGGGGCGGTGTGGGGGGGCTTGATGCAGAATGTGAAGTGATTCACCTAAGAACATATATGCACAGCCCAAGAACACAGACAAAAGAGTAGTGAGGGCCAAGGGAGGGGAAGGTGGGGTGGGTGGCAGTGAGCAAATGGGAGAAATGGGGGACATCTATAACAGAGTCAACAATAAAAGTCCTATATAATAAAGAGCTAATATGCAAATGGTCATCACCCCCTCACACCCTTGCGCCCTCATGCCAGGGCCAGGTGACCTGAGGCTCGGCCGGGGGACCTGAGGCTGGGCCCCCCTCCCAGCGGAGATTAACGGGAGTGGGGCTGGCCAGGTCTGGGTCTCCCGTGATTTCTAGGCACGTGTGGGTGGGCAGGTACTTGACTCTGGGTCCTGTAGCACACCCCAGACTCTGACAGGAGGGGGACTTTCATATACATTTTACTAATTTTCTTTCATCTTGGACACTTCTATTATAGAGAATGGGCAAATAGCAATATTAAAATATTTCCTCTAATTAATTCCTTTTAATGTGCATGAATTTCATGCACTGGGCCACTCATTAAATATATTTAATGATTTTGTTGTTTAGATTCCACATTTAAGTGATTTTATGTGAAGCCAGTCTTACTCTGGCTTATTTCACTTAGCATACAAACCGGCAGGTCCATCCACGCTGTGGCAGAAGGTAGGATTTTCTTGTTTCTCACAGCCGAGTAGTACTCCATCGTGTAAACCTACCACAGCTATTTAATCCACTCATCTACTGATGCTCACGTGGCTACTTCCACATCTTGGCTGTTGTAAATAATGCAACAATGAACATAGGGGATGCATATATTCTTTTGAATGAGCTTTTCAGGTTTCTTTGATGATATCCCCAGAAGTGGAATCACTGGGTTGAATGGCAGTTCCATTTTTTTACTTTTTGAGGAACCTCCTTACTGCTTTCCACAGTGGCTGCACCCGTCTGCATTCCCAGTAGCTTTGCACGAGGGCTCCCTCTTCTCCACATCCAGCACTTGCATTTCCCTGATGATTAGTGACTTTGTGAATATACAGCGGAGTGAGGGTAGGCTCTGCAATAAATGGTGCTGGGAAAATTGGACAGGTACATGCAAAAAAAAAAAGGAAGGAAGGAAGGAAGGAAGGAAGGAAGGAAGGAAGGAAGGAAGGAAGGAAGGAAACTTACCACCCGCTTACACCATACACAAGAGTACACTGAAAATGGATAAAAGACTTCAATGTAAGTCACTAAGGCATAAAAATCCCAGGAGAGTGACACGTCTTGTGTTGTCACCTCAGAAGCAGTCGAGGAGCAGAAATTCAGAAACACCAAGTCCATATTCAGCTCCTGTTGACCTGGCCTTCTGGAGACTGAGGATTGGGGACCAGGGTGCTTCTGAGGAAGAGGAGGCAGGGGCTGAGCCAAGCGGAGAAGGACACAGGATGTGGGGGGCAGGGTCCTCACACCACCACCCGCGCACTGTCCACAAGGTGCTTGCCTCACAGGAAGGCAACACCTTCTTCTCACCCTAAAAATAGCAGGTGCTGAGGGTCTGAGTGGAACCACATTTCCGAACAACCTACATGTATTTGTTTTTTACTGAATTTTTTATTTACTGGGGTGACATTGCTTAATAAAATTATGCAGGTTTCAGGTATACGATTCTACACTACATCATCTGTACAAGGTAGTATGTGCTTATCATTCTAAGTCTAGTCTATTTTCACACAACTTACCTTATTTTTACCCACCCCCCACCCTTCCCTCTGGCAGTCACCATAGTATTGTCTGTGCCCATGAGTCTTTCTTTTATTTCTTTGCTTAATCCATTCACCCTTCCCCCCAGCCCACAACCCCCTCTCCTCTGACAGCTGTCAGTCTGTTCTCTGTATTCATGAGTCTCTCTCCACTATGTTTTATTTTGTTTATTAGATTCCAAATATGAGTGAAATCATAGGGAACTTGTCTTTCTCTGATTGGCTTATTTCACTTCAGATCATGCTCTCCAGATCCATTCATGCTGTCACCAAAGGTAAAAATTACTTCTCTATTTTACAGCTGCACAATATTCCATTGTGTAAATATACCATAGCTTTCATCTGCTGGTGGGCACTTAGGCTGTTTCCAGATCTTGCCTTTGTAAATTATGCTGCTGTGATCATAGAGGGGCATAGATATTTGTGGATTTATTGATGAGAAGCCATTCCGAAAGGTGTGTGGTTTCAACATGCATCTCTCTGATGATTAGTGATGTTGAGCATCTGTTCATATGTCTACTGGCCATGATGTGTCCTCTTTGGAGAAGTGTTTATAGGTCCTCTGCCCATTTTTTTTTATTGAATTATTTGGGGGGTTTTTGGTGTTGAGCTTTATAAGTTCCTTATAAATTTTGGACAATAAGCCCTTATCAGATGTATTGGCTAATAGTTCTCCATTCGGTGGGTTGTCTTTTCATTTTGTTGATGGTTTCCTTTGCTATGCAAAGCCTTATCATTTCATCCTTATACTTTCATTTAGAAAAAACTCTATTGTTTAACTAATCATTTTTAATTGACCGTTTTTATTAAATCATAGTTGGCATACAATGTCATATTAGTTTTAGATGTGCAACACAGATATGATATTTATTATTGACTATCTTCCCTTCCCCTTCTCACCTATCCTTCCTGCCCTCCCATCTGGCAATCTATGGATCTGTTTTTGTTTCCTTTGCTTTGAGGATGTGAAAAATCCCAGAGGTAAGTGAGATCTTTCCTTGTCTGAATCATTTCATGCAGCATAATGCCCTCTAAGTCCATCCATGTTGTCCCAAATGGCAGGATTTCATTCTAGTTTTGGTTGGTTTATATTTCAATACAGGCCCAATGCATGAAGTTCGTGCATCGGGGCAGGGGGGGGAGGTTCCTCAGCATGGCCTGCACCCTCTCACAATCCAGGACCACTGGCTCCTAACCACTAGCCTGCCTGCCTGTTTGATCGCCCCTAACCGCTCTGCCTGCCTGATCACCCCTAACAGCCTCTGCCTCGGCCCCTGCCACTGCGGCTTCATCCAGAATGATGTTGGGAAGGTCGTTCTGCTGTCCAGTCTAATTTGCATATTATGCTTTTATTATTATAGATAACGCACACTAGCCACATCTTTATCATCTAGTTGTCTATGGATCTAAAGTATCAACGCAATGTTTTGTTTTTCTAAATCCTTGAAATAATAGATTAGGCCATTGATTTTTTAAGGTTCTTAATTTTATTATTTCATAGGTTTGATGTGTCATATTTACATTACAATTCCATTAAAAATATTCACTTTGTTCACACATTGATTATTGGGAAGTCTATTATTTTGATTTCCAAATGTAGAGATATTGGCTTATCTTTGACTATAGAATGAGGTGACTCCCTGAGAGTCCCAGGGGAAAATCAGGTCTCCACAGTTGGTGGGGCACTAGCCAAGTGTCCAGAGGTGTAGCTTTCCTGCCTACTAGGGTCCCTGCATACCCCTTCCTGGAGTGTGGTGGTCTGAGTCCATCCTGAGCTAGTGGATGGCTAGAGCAGCATACACACTGGGCTCTTCTGAGGGATCCTTTGATGGGGAGAATGGGGGTGAACTTTTCTGTTGTCTATGGGCCAATAGGTTTAGCTCTGCGTAGGGCACATCCTGGGGGGCATCAGATGCAGCAGCCTGGAGCAGGGGGAGAGAGAGGGATTAAACATGGTTGGGGTTTGAGAGCCTTGGGGCCCGGGGAGGATGGGACTCACCTGACTGTCCATCTGTCTGTCCTCTTCTGCTTGTCTGTCCTTCATGCCCAAAAATTCCCCTGATAGAAAAGGAAGAGAGGTGGTCATTATCTACCTGAGTCTTGATGGTGAGCAGTTCCCCTGGCCGTACAGACTGACTGAGGGCCATCATCCTTCCTGCTCTGCTGGAGAGAGACAGTGAGACAGAACAGCGTCTCCTTGATTCCACTGTTGAAATCCTCCTGTCACTTATCCTCATGTTGCCAGATCCAGCAATAGATTAAAAAGATCACACACCATGACCAAGAAGGACTTTCCCGGAGATGCAAGGATGGTTCAATATACTCGAATCAATAAACGTGATACACCACATAAACAAAATGAAGGATAAAAATCACATGATCTTATCAATAGATTCAGGAAAAGCGCTTGTGAGAATGTTTACTATTCATGAGGTTGAAAAGGATGAAAGATGACCTTACCTCTGTCCATCTGTGCTGACAGTGAGTGTATTCTTCCAAGGTTTTCTGATTTGAGATTCTGGAGAAATCCTTTTCTCAGCTCAACTTCTCCATCTATTTGGTTTCCAGTAGCAGGTGTCTGAGCCCTTCTCCCTGTGACCCAGGTCACCCCCTTCCCTACTCACCTGAGGTCCTGCCTTTGCTCTGACGTCGATGTCGGAGGAGGAGGAAGAGAAGAAGGGAGAGCAGGAGGACCAAGGCCACTAAGACAGCTATCCAGTACCATTTGAGACCTAGGACATTAGTGATATCATGAATGAGCCAATGATGCTGTTTAATGATCACCTACTATGTGAGAGGCACATGCTGGGACCTGTCATTTATCTCCTCTCACCTCACAGCAGTCATGCACCAGGCATGGCTGACCCAACCACCCTCAGAGGAGTTAACCACATGCCCTAGGTCATCCAGCCTGGATGGGGCTGGGCAGGGACTGGAACCTGGGACTGTGGGTTACCTGTGCTGGCCTCACACCCCCATGCCCACATCCCAAGTGGACACTGCTTTGTGCTCTGGAGTCCTCCTCTGCAGGATCCTGTCCATGTCTCATTTGGAGCTGAGGGTCCTTCCTCATTACTTGCCCCTTGCCTAGCAGGGACAGGAGTGGCAAGATGAAGGGTGGACTCTGAGTCTCTCCTGGATCCCTTTCCATCCACAGGTCTCTGACAGCCCCCTAGGAAAGTCAGGCTGGGCTGGGGGCTCTGCCTTCCTGAACTCTGTGAGGCCCTTATATCACCTCATCTCCCAGAAGCCTGTGAGCAGGATGGGACCAGGGATGAGCAGAGAGGAACCCGACACTCAGAGGAGAGAAGGGACTGCCCAGCCCACAGCAGGAGCAGCAGAGCCTGGAGCTGAACCAGGGTTGATCCACCCTGTTCCCTCCTCTGAGCTGAGCCTGAGCTGAGGGGTAGGACTGGATGCCCGGACCCTTGTCCTGCCTGTCACTCCCTGTACAGTGTCACCGTCACTGAGACAGAGGGGACAGGCCCCATAACATCACGTCCTGGGGGCTTCCCTGTGAGGCCCCTCTCCCAGGAGGTCAGGGCCAGAACTGACAGGAAATCTAAGCTCTGGACAAGGATTTTCTCCTTTTACACCTGGAGACACTGTGGCCCAGATAGGGGAAAGGCGTGTCCAAGTGAGAGACTTCAGAGGCACCAGAACCCCTTATAGCTCAGTCCCCATCCCCACATGGAGGAACCCACCACCTCCCCACAGAGAACTTCACACACCGTGGGTGGGATAGACCTATCTTCAGAGCTCCTGGGTTCAGGATGGGGCAGGCAGGGTGGGGGCTGCTTCTCCCACATGAGCCCAGCTCCCCCTCCCCAGCCTGTGCCCCCACATCTCCCTCTGCCATGACCACCCCACCCATCACCTGCCACAGAGCCTGGGACTCCAAGCCCCCCTGAGACACAAGCCTATCCTTGAGAATCTGGGTCACTCGATCCCCTGACAGACTCTCAGGACTTGCTGGGGGGGGGGGGCTGTGCTCCCTCTGAGCAGAGCTCCCTGGGACTCACCAGCAGGGGAGGTGGGCCCTGTGGGTGGGGGGCTGGGGCCTCCAGAGGGTCCTGGAAATGAGGACAGGAAGAGGGTGAGAGGCTTGGGCTGACCCTGGACCCCATTTCACACAGACACCCTCTTCCATCTGTGCTGTGGCCCCTGAGACCCACCCACTGCTTCAGTATCCAGGTGAGGGGGAGGGGCTGGACGGGGTGGGAGGCCTCTAAGGAAAAGATCTCCTCGGGATGACTATCCTGAGAGCCCCAAACTCCCTTACAGCCCATAATCCTTCTGGGGACAGGACCCTGAGCTGACAGCTCAGCCGATAGGGTTTGGGCCCCTCACCTGAGACCAGGAGCTCCAGGGGCTCACTGGGGTGTGACAGATGGTAGGGAGAGATGCTGGATGAACTGTAGCACCTGTAGGTGCCCGCGTGGGCTGAGGTCACAGGACTCATGGAGAACTCTGCCTGGGACTGCTGAGCTCGGTGCTTTGATCCCAGACGCAAGGGGGGACCTGCTGCCCCCTTCTTGGACAGAAGGAAGGTGTCCCTCCAGCTTAGGGACTGACACAGCAGGGTCACATTCTCTCCTGAGGCCACCCTGGGGTCTGGCTGCACCGAGAGGGAGGGTCTGTCAGGCAGGTGTCCTAGAGAGAGGGAGGGAGGGTGAGGGCTGCCTGCCCACCTTGTTCTGACCTGAGAGTCACCAGGCCTCCCTTTGAGGACTTTCCTCACTGTCTGTCTCTGTTTCTCTGAGTCTCCTCCTCTCTCCTCCCACCCCCTGTCTCTCTCTCTGTCTCCATGCCTCCCTGGGGCCTGCACTGTTATTCTGGCCTCACCACCTGAGACCCCCAGTGGGGCCTGTGCAGAGTCTGGGTCCCTGACTGAACCCACTGGCTCCTCACCTGGCACCAGGATGTCCAGGGGGTCACTGGGGGCCGACCACTCAGAGGAGAGGTTGTATCCACCGTAGCATCTGTACCGGCCCCCATGGGAGCTGCTCACAGTGTCCAGGAGGAAGTGGGCCTGAGAGAGCCCAGCCTGGGGCTGCAGGACAAGGCTGTGGGGGAGGCCCTTTCTCCCCTCCTTGTGCAGAGCGAATCTGTCATACCTGACATCAGAGCGACACTGGAGGGAAAGGTTCTGTCCAGAGGCCACGATGGGGCCCTGCTGGCTCACGAGGGAGGGCTTCCCAGACTCACCTTCGGAGACCAGACATGAGTTACAGGGGCTGCTCCTCCCATAAGCCTCCTTTTCCTGGGCTCCAGGTCTCACTGTCTCTCTCTGTGTCTCTTGCCCAGGAGCTCCTCTGTTCCCTCTCCCCACCCCTTCACATGGGGCTCCCCTCCCAGTGAAGATGCCAATGTGTCTGTTTCCTCAACCCATGGATGGGAGCCGGATGAGACTTACTCACCTGGGACCAGGAGCTCCAGGGCATCACTGGGGTGTGACCACACCTGGTGGTTGTCCCTGTAACAGCCATAGCATCTGAACCTCCACCTGTGGCTGGGATTGATGGGGCCCACAAGGAACAGGGTCTGGGCCCAGCCACTGCGGTGTGGCTCTGAGTCCTGGGTCCTGTAGAGCCTGTGATCTCCTTCCTTAGTAAGAATGAACCTGTCAAACCCCTGCTGTGAGCCACACTGGAGGGTCACCTTCCCTTCTGAGGTTACAACAGGGCTGGGCAGGGCTGAGAGGCTGGGTTTGCTGTAAGATCCTAGGAGAGGAGGGGGCAGCGTGTTAAATGGGGCTCACACCCCCTCACATCCCTCAGGGATTGGCTGTGAGATGGAGACACCCTGAGATCAGACCCCCTTCCTGAGGGCAGAGCCCGAGGCTGGGACCCCTGAGTGTCCTCTCACCTGTAACCACCAGCTCCAGTGCGTCACTGGGCTCTGACCAGCCAGTGGGGCTGTTATAATAACAGGAGTATCTCCCTGCATCGTGCTCTGTCATGTGTGTGATGGAGAACTTGCCCTTGGTTGTGGACTTCCTTTCAGTCTGTGTGCTCCAAAGCACACGTTTTCCTTCCTTATACAGATCAAACTTCTGGGCCTCCAGGGTCCCCTCACACCAGAGGGTCACAGGGCTCCCATAAGGGATCACAGGGCCTGGTTCAGCCCAGAGGGTGGGTTTGGGGAGGGTCCCTGGAAGGAAATCAGAAGCTGTATTACACAGACCTTCCCCCCCTCATCCCCCAGCTCATCCCAGGACTTCTGTGCTCCCTCCTGAGACCCCCAGTGAAGTACCAGCTGGGACCTGGAGCCTGGGGAGGACTCACCTGCCTGCCCGTGGATCCTCTGGCCCAGACTCAGCCCTGGAAGAGAGTTTCTGTGAGCGATTGGCACCTGCACGTCTGAGCTGATTCCCCTCCCATCAGGGCCCCGTCCACTCGAGCTGCCTGAGCCTGAGGTTTCCCATGAACAAGGGGGTGCCACCACCCCTCCTGCTGCCCCTCCCCGTGTCCACAACTGACCGAGGCAGAGAAGAGCAGAGAGGATGGACACCATGGCGTCTGCGCTCAGGGCTCCTGCTGTGAAAATGGAGGAGACTTAGGGTCGGAAAAACAGACGCACAGGATGTGGTGGGTCTGAAGCTGTTGCAGCCCTTCCGGGTCCGCAAGCTGTGCACCCACTGCATTCGGACTCTCCCGCCCTGGGCCTGGCTCTGAGTTTCCCCAAACTGAGGGCTCAGGAGGACAGAAGGCTCTTCGGGGTCAGGTGCCCAATCCCTCCCAGGCACTGCGGGGATCATTTCCTTTGTTCCTGGCGACTCTACACATGTGGTCTGGCCTTTGGATTCTGTGATGACAACTTTGAGTGGACTTTGCACTTTCAGGTTGGTGCTGCTCATCCATCAGAAAACAGTAACAGTCTCAACTCCCAGTTCACATAGCATAGGTTTTAGTCCTTTATTCTTCAGTTGCTAAAGTGAAGCTCAAAATGGAACTGCCGATGGACCCAGCAGATCCCACTTCTCAGAATATATCCTCAGAACCTGAAACAACAATCAGAAAGATTGTAGAACCCAAAACTTCAATCAGAAAAAAGGTATGCTTCCCTGTGTTCATAGCAGCACAACCCAGCTGTGAGTGAGTGAGTGGATAAAACAGCTGTCGTACATATACACTATGGAGCTGTAAAAAAGAAGGATCTCTTACCCTTTGAGACAGCCTGGAGGGACCTGGAGAGTATCCTGCTAAGTGAAATAAGCCAGTCGGAGAAAGACAAATATTGCAGGATTTCACTTATATGTGGACTCTAATGAACAATATGACTTGATCAAAAAAATAATTCCAGAGGCATGCTGCATGGAACAACTGGACAGATCTCAGGGAAGGGAGGGGGGCAGAAAAAGATTAACTAAAGAACTTACCTGCATATATGCATAGCTCAAAGCCATAGATATTAGTGTGCAGAAGGACTGTGGTGGGGTCTGTGCTGGGTGGAGGGGGGGATAGAGGCAGAGATGAAGGTCATCTGTAATAATGTGACCAATATTACAAAAGATACAGTATTATCTTGAAGGGAAGGCTATCTATATATATAAAAGCCTAAGCGACCAAAGGACTAGTTGATCATTTGCACACAGACCACCAGGGGGCAGACACTAAATGCAGGAGCTGCCCTCTAGTGGTCAGTGTGCTCACACAGCTGGAGCACCGTTCAGCTGACCTAGCGAGCCAGACCCAGGCTCACTGCTGGCGACCACAGCTGTAATGCCCCAAGCCTCTCCCACCTCTGCGGCAGCACTACTGAGTGGTGGCGGCAGGTGCTGCAGGGTTGGTCAGGATGAGCAGGAGTGGCATGGCACCTGGTCCAGGCTTGGGCTCCTCCTCGCCCACCTGCTGCTTTACGCACTACTACATCCCTCGGGGGGTGTCAGACTGCCGGTTTCGGTCTAATCCCTCAGCCTGGCCTGCAGGGATGGGGCCGAACCAGAAGTCTGACATCCCCCGAGGTGTCCTGGATTGCGAGAGGGTGCAGGCCAGGCTGAGGGACCCCACATGTGCATGAATCCGTGCACCGGGTCTCTAGTATAGAAAGAAAATAAGAATGCTCATGACGACATTATGGGAGACATACCAAGACAGGAAGAGAAACGGATTGACAGGGTGACAGATGTCAGAGGAGAGGAGATTGAGGGAAGAGGGGGGACTCGATGCAGAATGTGAAGCGATTCACTAAAGAATATATATGCACAGCCTAAGGACACAGATAACAGTGTAATGAGAGCCAAGAGAGGGGGAAATGGGGTGGGTGGCGGTGGGCAAATGGGAGAAATGGGGGACATCTGTAACAGTGTCAACACTAAAAATCCTATATAATAAAGAGCTAATATGGCAATGGTCATCACGCCCTCACACCCTTGTACCCTCACGCCAGGGCCAGGTGACCTGAGGCTCTACTGGGGGACCTGAGGCTGTGCCCCCCTGCCAGGTGGGGCTTGATGGGGGTAGCACTGGCCAGGTCCCAGTCTCCCACGATTTCGAGGCACCCGTGGGTGGGCGGGGACTTGACTCTGGGTCCTCTAGCACACCCTAGACTCTGACAGGAGGGGGACTTTCATATACATTTTACTGATTTTCTTTCATCTTGGACACTTCTATTATAGAAAATGGGCAAATAGCAATATTAAAATATTTCCTCTAATTAATTCCCGTTAATGTGCATGAATTTCATGCACTGGGACACTAGTTAAATATATTTAATGATTTTGTTGTTTAGATTCCACATTTAAGTGATTTCATATGGAACGTGTCCTACTCTGGCTTATCTCACTTAGCATACAAACCTGCAGGTCCATCCATGCTGCGGCAGAAGGTAGGACTTCCTTCTTTCTCACAGCCTAGTAGTACTCCATCGTGTAAACGTACCACAGCTTTTTAACCCACTCATCTACTGATGGGCACGTGGCTGCTTCCACATCTTGGCTGTAGTAAATGATGCTACAGTGAACATAGGGGATGTGTATAGTCTTTCGAATGAGCATTTCGGGTTTCTTCGATGATATCCCCAGAAGTGGGATCACTGGGTCTAATGGAAGTTCCATTTTTTTTACTTTTTGAGGAACCTCCATACTGCTTTCCACAGTGGCGGCACCGGGCTGCATCCCCAGCAGTGGTGCACGAGGGCTCCCTCTTCTCCACATCCAGCAATTGCATTTCCCTGATGCTAAGTGACTATGTCAATATACAGCAGAGTGAGGGCAGGCTCTGAAATAAATGGTGCTGGGAAAATTAGACAGGTACATGCAAAAAGAAAGGAAGAAAGAAAGAAAGAAAGAAAGAAAGAAAGAAAGAAAGAAAGAAAGGAAGAAAGGAAGGAAGGAAGGAAGGAAGGAAGGAAGGAAGGAAGGAAGGAAGGAAGGAAGGAAGGAAATTTACCACCTGCTTACACCACACACAAGAGTACGCTCAAAATGGATAAAAGACTTCAATGTAAGTCAGAAAGCCATAAAATTCCCAGGAGAGTGACACTTCTTGTGTTGTCACCTCAGAAGCAGGCAAGGAGCAGAAATTCAGAAATACTAAGTCCATATTCAGCTCCTGTCGACCTGCACTTCCGGAGACTGAGGTCTTGGGGACCAGGGTGCTTCTGAGGAAGAGGAGGCAGGGCTGAGCCAAGCGGACAAGGCCACAGGATGTGGGGGGCAGGGTACTCACAGGTGTTTGCCTCACAGGAAGGCGACACCTTCTCACTCTAAAAATAGCAGGTGCTGAGGGTCTGAGTGGAACCACATGTCCGAACAGCCTACATGTATTTGTTTTTTATAGAATTTTTAATTTACTGGGGTGACATTGGTCAATAAAATTATACAGGTTTCACGTATATGATTCTACACTACATCATCTGTACATGGTATTGTGTACTTATCACCCTAAGTCTAGTCTATTTCCACACAACTTACCCCATCTTTACCTCCGCCCACCGCACCCTTCCCTCTGGCAGTCACCATAGTATTGTCTGTGTCCATGAGTCTTTTATTTCTTTGCTTAATCCATTTGCCCTTCTCCCTCAGCCCACAACCGCCTCTCCTTTGACAGCTGTCAGTCTGTTCTCTGTATACACGAGTCTCTCTCCACTATGTTTTATTTTGTTTGTTAGATTCCAAATATGAGTGAAATCATAGGGAACTAGTCTTTTTCCAGTGGCTTATTTCACTTGACATAATGCTCTCCAGGTCCATCCATGTTGTTGCAAAAGGTAAGAGTTCCCTCTCTATTTTACAGCTGCACAATATTCCATTGTGTAAATATACCATAGCTTTCATCTGCTGGTGGGCACTTGGGCTGTTTTCAGATCTTGGCTTTTGTAAATAAGGCTGCTATGATCATAGAGGGGCATAGATATTTGTGGATTTATTGATGATAGCCATTCCGGAAGGTGTGTGGTTTGGATTGGCGTCTCTCTGATGATTAGTGATGTTGAGCATCTGTTCATATGTCTACTGGCCATGAAGTGCCCTCTTTGGAGAAGTGCCTATCTAGGTCCTCTGCCTATTTTTTTATTGAATTATTTGGGGGGTTTTGGTGTTGAGCTTTATAAGTTCCTTATAAATGTTGGACAATAAGCCCTTATCAGATGTATTGGCTAATAGCTCTCCATTCGGTGGGTTGTCTTTTCATTTTATTGATGGTTTCCTTTGCTATGCAAAGCCTTATCATTTCATCCTTACACCTTCATTTATAAAAAAATTCTATCGTTTAACCAGCGCCTCCACCCGCTCCGCAGCCGGCACCATGCGCGAGATCGTGCACATCCAGGCGGGCCAGTGCGGCAACCAGATCGGAGCCAAGTTTTGGGAGGTCATCAGTGATGAGCATGGGATCGACCCCACTGGCAGTTACCATGGAGACAGCGAGCTGCAGCTGGAGAGAATCAATGTGTACTACAATGAAGCTGCTGGTAACAAGTACGTACCTCGGGCCATCCTGGTGGACCTGGAGCCGGGCACGATGGACTCGGTCAGGTCTGGACCATTCGGCCAGATCTTCAGGCCCGACAACTTCGTGTTTGGCCAGAGCGGGGCCGGGAACAACTGGGCAAAGGGCCACTACACAGAGGGCGCCGAACTGGTAGACTCAGTCCTGGACGTGGTGAGGAAGGAGTCAGAAAGCTGTGACTGTCTGCAGGGCTTCCAGCTGACCCACTCGCTGGGGGGTGGCACCGGGTCAGGGATGGGCACGCTGCTCATCAGCAAGATCCGGGAGGAGTACCCAGACCGCATCATGAACACCTTCAGCGTGATGCCCTCGCCCAAGGTGTCGGACACGGTGGTGGAACCCTACAACGCCACGCTGACCGTGCACCAGCTGGTGGAGAACACAGATGAGACCTACTGCATCGACAACGAGGCCCTGTACGACATCTGCTTCCGCACCCTGAAACTGACCACGCCCACGTACGGGACCTCAACCACCTGGTGTCCGCCACCATGAGCGGGGTGACCACCTGCCTGCGCTTCCCCGGCCAGCTGAACGCGGACCTGCGCAAGCTGGCAGTGAACA